ACTGCAGATAGCAGTCAGCTGAAGTGGCCTGCAGTACTGCACTCTAACCACTGCACCACCTCGGCTCTTTTCTTAGGGTTAGAGGGCAGGATTTTACACTTGTCCTTTCCCTTGATCAATAGGGGTGCCAAAGAATCCCCAAAGAGTGTCCCTCCCTTGGTACGGCTCCGACGCCAGGTGCCACTTGTGTCTCAAGTCAGATTGCCATTGTCGGAGCCACAGGAGTATGCGTGAGGCCACCAATGAGGCCATGGCCCTGGAAGCGAACCGGGTTGTGCTCAGCATGGCGTCAGCTGAAAACTGGACTGCGGCGATAATTTTATTAAGGTCCTGGTGGGCCCTAGAATCCCCTGTGGGGATACGTTCCTGCAGTTGCTGCAGCCAGAAAAGACTTGAGCAGAAGAAAAAGGAGGCTGCTGTCGAGACCTACGCAGCCCACGCTGATGCCTGATGCCCCTGCTGTAGGAACTGATTGGCGCGCCTATCCTTGGGTTTGAGGATGTTTTCCTCGGTGGCCGGGAGCATGGTGTTAGTATGCAGCGCCGCTACAAGAGCGTCGATGGTTGGCCAGGTGAGGTTCTTATCCAGTTGTTCCGCAACATTGTAGAACCATCTTCATTGGCCGAGGGCGTCGGGCCTGATGTTGGCATGGTCCCCTGGCATCTCACCGTGTCAACGAAGAGCTGAGGAGTGGGTATGATGTCTGCTTCCACCTTGTGCTCCTTAAACAGCACGCTTGCCGATGGGCCCTGCCTTGGCCTGGCCCTCGAGGTCTGAGGAGGCCTTGGCCTTAGCCAGCAGCAGTTTGAACAATGTTGGATGGAAAAGACCCACAGTTGGGCTTGTCCGGTATGGCGCCTTCTTCCTCAGAGAGGTCGACGTCCCTGATCTCTCCTTCCTCTGAAGCAGGGTTTGGCCGGAGACAGGCGTTTCATTGACTCTTGGGCTGACCCTGGTCATGGAGTGGAATGAGAGACCCCTGATGTTGCCCCTTGGTTCTTCTCCTGGAGTCCTGCCGCAATGCGTTCTTTAATGGCCTCAGCTATTATGTCCTGGAATCCAGTAGCCATAGACTGAAGCGGCAAGATGATGGGCAAGACAGGGAACCAACCCTCCTGGCAGACCCCTGCCACAGTGGGGGTAAGGTGTCCTCCGCCAGCCTGCTCGGTGGTTGTGTGATTGTGCTGTCCTAAATACCGGACGTATCAATTGGGAGCATAGGGCTAAATGGCCCATTGGTCACTTCAAGCTGCAGTGATGGCAGTGGGCTGGGCCTGGCCGGCACTGGAGTCTTTTCGGACCATTGGCGGGAAGATCCCAGGTCCTCTCGGCTCTTGTCCTTGGAGGCCTTTTTTTTTTTGAGGTCTTACTGGAGGAAGAGGAGCCTTTGGTCTATGCCTTGTCTCCCAATTGTGTTTGGGAAGAAGGCTGCTCAGTGGGGCACATGGGGCTCTGTCCTACCATAAATAATCTGCCGGCTTGACTGGCGGGCTTGCTGGTCTCTAGGCCCAGGTCAGACATGCTGCTGCCTGCCATGCCACTGCTAACCGAAATGCTGATTCAAAATGGTAACCGCAACGCGTGGCTCCACCGACTGCCCAAAATGGTGCTCCCACTCTTTTACTGGAGGCAATCTGGGCCCCAATGACAGGAGGCTTCCTGCTGCCGTGTGGCTTCAACCTGGCTGTCTGGGCCGCCCATGCCTCGTCTGGAGTACTCGCTGTTGCGCCATGACTTTCCAAGGGAGGAGTCTCCCATCAAGCTTGCGTAACAGCGCAACATGCACACACGCTCTATCGTCCCAAGTGAAAAGCTTTTTGGCTGCAAAAGACAAGCCTAAACGGCTGTCAGACAAGGCTCTTTGATGCTGATTGCCTCCTTTCTCCTCTGCAGTGTGTAGGCAGCCCCAAAAGGTTGTCGAGAACACATGCCTGTGTGCTGGAGCCCTGTAGCCAGACAGAGACAAGCCTCCAGATCAATCTCGAAATCCTCACGATCCCTCAAATAGATTGTTTTCCCTTCTCACAACGATAATGCAACTCGTCAAACTGGTAAGGTGAAGTAATTAAACTGCTAATGCATACAAAGGATAACACGACTGTCCCAGAGTGGACTGAGTTGGAAACTGGGTGGTAATCCTCACAGGGGCGGGTTATATAGTACATTGGCTAATTAATATTCAGTCCAGTCAGAGCATGGACAGTGTCAACCCATGCATGGATGCTATCTCCACCCTTATTGAGAAGAGCTAATTACCCCATATTTATAAATGGCAACATGGTTGACCAGATATATTGTTTCCCTAATATAGTTAACCTCCAGGTGACCCAATTAAATATATTGTGAGAACCAATCATGTATGTTTAGAACAGCATCAACTTGTCTTCATGAATCACTAAATATCTAAGCTTGCAGTCATAAATTTATTCATCAAAATAAATCCCACAAATGAATTTACTCCTGTATAAAGAAGTAGGGAAATGTTCCTTTTATGACATAACACAACTTCCCATCCCACATTTTTTTAAAAAAAACCCACACATTAGAAATCTGTAAAAAGAATAATTACACCTTGAGCTCTTAAAGAGAACAAGACATGTCCAGCCTACAAAAGTCATTTATGGTAACAAATGAGTTTTGCTGAATTGTTCTTTCTTCCTTTTAGCAGTGACTGATGAAACCATGCTTGCCAGTACTCAAGCAAAGAGAGGAGAGAGAAAGAGAGAGAGAGAGGGAGAGAGGAAAAAGAGCAGCAACTCCATTTCCTTCTAGTCTGTGATTTCTCCATCCTTTCTCAGAAGTAATCCAAAGAGAAAAACACACCATGTTAAAGTTAATACAAAAATATTAACACTTCTATCCAACTGTTGTACACTGTTATATCTCTACATTATAATTCTTATTATTGTGCAGCTATAACATAATAAAAGGTGTAATTCTTTTAAAAAATTCACACACTGCATATTTTTATTATTTTATTTAAGTATAAACTTTTTAAACACTTTACATAAATTAACTCCTCTGAGACTAATATTTGATGTACAGTAAATTGTAATTTATATAAAAATCCATAAACAACTTGTCTCACATAATTTACAAAAAAATCAAGCTTCCTTTGCTTCTGTGACAAGAATTCTATTTGCCATTTTCCCCAAGGTAAACCCCATGATCACCGTAAAATCCATTACCAAATTTTGATTGTAGAATAAATTGCTTGTGCCAGTGTCCTTTCAAAAAGCAGCACTGTTAAAGCCATTGGGATGTCCATACACAAAGAGTCTTGTCCCGCGCTTAACATGAACAGAGATTATATACCACATCCTAGGCAGAGAAAGGGAGTCAGCAGGAGAGGAGGAGAAAGGGGAAGAAGGAGGAGGAGGAGTAGGAAAAAATACTAATTTTTGTAAGTAAAAGTCAACAATTTAGTAATATTTGGAAACACTGTTATCGCTTTCTTTCTTAGTTACTGGAATACTCAGCCAGTTGGAAACTCTTTAGATCTTTCTTTTTAGTATTTTCAGTCCAACTTGAGTGCAGCGATATGCATATGTAAACATATTCTTTAAAGCAGATCACCTTTAAGGTCATTCAGAAAAAAAAAACCACAACTCCAGTTTTTCTTTTTAATATTATCATTCTTCTGGAAGGCTCTCTCTTTGTTGTAGAGTCCATTCAGATTGTGCTACAGAAAAATCTGAGCAAAGATGTATATTTAGGCTCAAGTAATAATGCAGCAAACTATTTGGTCTCCTCTCTTAGAAGACACTGGCACAGGGTCCGTCTCTTTGGCAGGCCAAGCTCAACCGATGTGTTACCTCTTTCCAATCTCACTTTGTCTAAGAAACTGTATATTGTTAGCACTGTCAGCTAATTCGGGGTATTGCTCAACAGAGAGTACATAGTACCCATCATATCCTTGAACTTTTCCAGCACTCAAAAGTTGCCTCTTTTCCCCTTCTGTCCATAGCCTGGCCCCTTCCTCCCCATCTCTCACTCGTTGCTGTTCTCTGGCCCAGGCATTGGAAAGAGCCCTTTGCCTAGCCTGTTCTAATATCCGTGCCTTCTCCTCATCAAGCGTCATGCCATAGCGGACATGAAGAGCCAGTGCACCGTACTGCATTTCAACATCAGCAAACCTACGAGTTCTGCCATTCACTACAGTAGTGGACTGGGAAACTGTGACATTGATGCCATTCTCCAGTGCCTTCCGGCCACTCGTCAATCTCAGCGTGCCCAGGTCACTCTCGGGTGAAGTGGTTTTAATGAAATAATGCGTATCCTTTCCCTCAACAGTGAAGTGCAGGTTTTCCAGGTAGTATGCACTATTCAGAACAGCTGCCACTTTGATACAATCCTCATTTGCAATGTTAAGCACGTTGGTCTGTACTTTGCCTTGATTGACAGCAAGCATTACTCCTTTTCCAATTAAAGATTTCACAGTTGCAAACCACAACCAGGATTTCTCACTCCCAGGTCTGCGCTTGCTGATCTGGACTTCTGCCATCTTTCCCAGGGATAAGAAAGCCTTTGCTTCCCTTGCCACTTCTTGTTGCACTCCAGAAATTGGCTGAAAACAAGAAGAGATATATAGATATAGATATATTTACAAGCCTATAAATTCTAACAGTCAAGCATTTATTGGCATGTTGCCTGCAGCTGACAACATGATACGCTACAATGACACTGCTGCAGCTAATTGAATTCACAGACTGGATTCCACTCTTGTAAGTTCTACATTGCTTGATATAGTTCAGTATTTATTACCATTTTTGATTATGAAGTTTAAAAAGAAGCACTGAATCATTCCAAAGAAAAATTCAGTTAATCAAACTATTCCTTATTTGATCATTACCCAATCAAAATAAAATTAGAAACATTGACTGTAGAGATCTGCTATGCTTCACTAGTTTTTTACATCAATCTTTATGATGTTAATTTATATACCATGAAATAGTAGAAAGATAAAGTATTGTCCAGATAGGAAGATGCATGCAATAAATTGATCTGCTAACAAATTAAAAACAAAGACATCTTTGATGCATACTTATAATGTAAAATAATTACCTGTATTTCTATAAGTAATGTTCTAGAGCTTTCCTTTAGTGATTGCAGAAATGAAAGTCTACCATGAAAGTTTTATGCTTGCTTATATATTTGGTTCAATTATATTTGGCATTATCTATTTATTATCAGGCATTTTTATATGCTGTAACTTCACCCAGAAAGGGAATCTAAGTTCCCGCCTGAAATCTCTGAACTTTGTTTTTGAGTATTCATGTCACAATATAAATTCAATTTTAAATTGTTATGAGGCCTTAAGCTACGAAAGTTTCATTCAATGCTGTTGGACTTTCAGAGGTTTTAAAGATGCATGCAGATACATACTATGTGAGTTTCTTTTCTATTTCCTTTCTTGTATTCTCTTTTATGACTTCATTTTCTACTTATTCCTTCCTAATCTCTTTTGTCCACTGTTATGATAATGCCTTTGGGGTTTGCCTCCCTTCATTCTCTGGACACTGTGTCTTTGTGCTCCCTTTACATTCTTCAACAGGGAAACAGGCACCTTGGATCACTGATGGGCGTGTCCCCATCAATAAAAGGCCTCCATGATCTCATCATCACATTTTGCCTATATTTGATCCTGAATAAGCTCTGAGAGAACTCAAAAATGAAGAAATGAGCTATGAGTAAGAAGGATAATAGGAGTTTTCTCTACAACATTTTTACATCACAAATTCAATGTATTAAATAAATATTGAGAGCAGCAATTGCTCCAGATAACTTATCCCAAGATTTAATATCCATTTTGGAAAAGGCCCTGGGTTACTCCTTTATATCACTTACGTTCGTTTTTGCATGCAGAGGAAAGAAATTATACATATTTTTATAATGATAGGGCTAAGATTTCTGCTGTAAAAACATCAACACAATGTTTCTGGATTTATATAACATGAAATTATTTTGACTCTTTATTTTAATAGCCTGGTAAGTCACAGAGATCCTTCGGAATGCACCTGAAAGGTTAACAGCTATTTAACATTTGTCATTTATTGCTGGTACTGAGAATTTGAGGATAAATGGATTTTTGATTTTTGAATAAAATTTATAATTGCTATTTTCCTAAGCAGTATATATGACTTTCTATTTTACATTTCATAGATTTTTGTGTATGATTTAGTTTTATACTTCTATTTGGCAATATATATTTTAAAACAAGGAGTTTGAGCTCCATATAATGTAATACATTTTACCTGGGGTGATTTTATATTCAATATTTTATCTTCACATATAAAACACGCTTAATATTAAAGACAAGTAAAATTGTACTGCTGTACAATATGCATAATTTATATCACCTGTTATTCTGTTTCTTTCACATTCTATTTTTTATTACATTGTTCACTTTTAGCCTGGAGGCAGGGTGCTGCTATCAATCCAATCTCTATAGCTTCCACTGGGAATGTTATAATTTGGACAAAAAAAGGATTTTAAAATACTATTATTTATTGATTAATCATTTCCTCCCTCTCACTTCAGTTTAGGAAATGTTAAAACTTAAGCCTAGTCTTTAGCTATTGGACAGAAAATTCCCTACAGAATTAACATATAGTTTGAGACAAAAGTGTATCAAGAAATATTTTTACAATATGTTTTAATTTTTTAAAATTCAATGTATGCCTCTGAGGATTTTTCAATATTCTAATAGAATATTTTATTATATTTTGTTGCAATTTAATGTTCCTTATTTTTTTACTTACCGGTACATCATCCCATTGCTGGCTCTTCACAAGTTCATAGGAGGGTTCAGTTAAATCAAATTTAGGCACAGGGAAACCTGGGATCGCATTGTGTAGATGAAAACCAAATGTCACCAGCCAGCTGTTAACATCTAGAAAGCAATTATAAAGTAAGTTAGAAAAACGTCACATATCCCTCAATATGTGATTGAATTTAGCGCAGCATAATTTGAATGAATGTCAGTAAACTAGATAATGCTCTGAGCTTTAAAATATATTTGGAGGAGAAAATCCATGGCAGAGCCGTAGTTTATTTGTTTAATAGTTGTCCTCATTTATATACAACCAATGACCCAGAGAAAAGAATGTAGTGAAGCTATTTATTAAAAGCACTCTTTATACAATCCAGAATAATCTGATTTATTATAGATGATTTCATGTGATCCACATAATTTCTTTATGCAGATAAGGTTATCTACTTAATAACCATAGGGAGAGCACTAGATCGTCACATCCCATGAATTCAACTATTGCAAGACAATGAGGAACATAAGAAACTGTACAGGAAGAATACTGCTATGTGAACATATGATCATGACTATTGCAAAAAAAAAAAAAAAAGAAAACAATCAGTATTTGGACATCTTTTAGAAAAAAAGCCTCTTTAGTGAATTAATAAGATCTTAAAGATCCTAATTTGGAATATATTTGGTCTTCTGTTCCACTTATGTAATTTCACAGTNTATAAATTTCTCGGATGTTTTTTCAATTTTTTTTACATGGTGGGATAACTTTCTTTTTGTTCCATCTCCCCAGGTAGAATTCTATTTTTTCTTTCTTCCAGAAGAACTGAGTATGTCTTTTTCACACATACAGAAAATCAAACCAAAACTAAACAAACCACAAAGACTCACAAGTTCCCAGACACAAGCAACTCAGTTATTGCTCTCTCATCAGCACACATTGGCAACAATCAGGATGGCCTGTTTCTTTGCCCTGTCCTTTGAAAGTTGGACTAAAAATGTAAGAACCCCCCCCCCCCAATGATGTCATGGTGTCATCATGGGCATTTTCTGCCCATTTTTTTGCTTGTTTCTCATTCTCTCCTGTGTCTAAGGGATGAATTTATGAAAACATTCACGGAAACTACCTAAAAAGACCCTGTTTTATGAGGCTTCTATAGGATGTTGCTTAATTTTCAGAAGACAAAAAGAGTGTTGGTACCTACCCGATACACTTCTTCTAATAGGGTGGAGATAGCATCCATGCATGGGTTGACACTATCTGTGCTCTGATGGGACTGAGTCTGAATATTAATTAGCCAATGTGCTATGTAACCCGCCCCTGTGAGTGTCACCACCCAGTTTCCAGCGAAATAAATGAAGACACAGACTCCACGTGTTATTCCCCCCCAAAAAAAAACAATCTTTAGTGATACAGGTAAACACAACAAAACCTTATGCAATCATCAACCACAAAAATACTCCAACGGCAGGTAAAAGAGATCGCCTCCAAAAAAGGTAAGGGATGGGTCTGGATGCTATCTCAACCCTATTAGAAGAAGCGTATCATGTAGGTACCAACGCTCTTTCTCAATAAGGGTGGAGATACCATCCATGCAGGTACCCAAGGTAGGTGTCCCTAAGGGAGGGAAGGTGACCGTTCCGGCAGTTGAGCCTCAGATCTTACCACCTACAACACCCTGCGGCCGAAAGCGGCCTCTGCTGATGCAAATTTGTCCAACTTATAGTTTCTGATAAACAGTGACGGGGATGCCCAGCCGCCGGCCTACAAATCTCGTCCAGAGAAGCCTGAGTGGCCCATGCCGCGCTGGTGGCAGCACTCCGTGTACAGCAAGCGGTCCATCCAGCTCCTGGGCTGTGTAGGCTGTCACAATACAATGCCTCACCCATCTGCCAATCACTGTGGTGGAGACCATTTTACCCAAGGAGGACAAAGACTAAAAAAAAAAACGCCACCGACCGTCTAATCTCAGACGTCCGTGCGATGTAAATTTTCAGTGCCCGACGGACATCAAGATTGTGCCATTGCATCCAGACCCATCCCTTACCTTTTTTGGAAATTTCTCTTAAAGGCTCAAATGGTGGCTTGGTAAGGGCCCAAGGACCCTGGTAAAATCCCAGGTTGGATAACGGTGTACAGCCGGTGGCCGCAGGTTGGTAGCCCCTCTTAAGAACCTTTTTTACCATGGGATGCTGTGTAATAGCCTGGCTGCCTCCCCAGGTGAGAACGGTGCCCAAGGGCACTACTTGCTGTCTGATGGTATTGGGAGATAACCCTTTATCAAGGCCATCCTGTAAAAATTCCAAGATCTGAGGGATGGAGGAGCCCTCTGGATTAATCTGTTTAAGCAGACACCACTTACAAAAGATTCTCCAGGTGGCATCATAAATGCGCACAGTTGAGGGCCTCCTGGAGGCCTGTACAGTATCAATAACTCTGGCTGAGAACTGATCCTGCCCTTAATGTGAGCCTCTCAACCTCCAGGCGGCCATTGGGACTCTGGGTGTTGTAGAACTCCATGGTGGAGGACAATTCTGTCCGCTGGAATTCTCCAAGGCCTCTCCACCAACGCCTGAAGGTTGGCAAACCAAGGATGCCTTGGTCAGTGCGGGACCAAGAGTATGACCTCTGCTCTGTTCTCGAAGATCTTGCGGACAACCATAGGGAGGAGAGGTACTGGGGGGAAAGTATAGAGGAGACCCCTGTGCCACTGACAGCGAAGAGCATCTGTTCCCTCTGCTCCTGGTGTTCGAAATCTCATGAAAAATCTGAGGAGCTGAGCATTGGAGGGGCTGGTGAACAGATGCACCATTGGGACTCTGAACCGGTGTGTGATCTCCTGAAAGAGAAGGATGTAATTGCCATTCGGCCTGGTTTACTGTAACTCTACTGAATCAGTCAGCCTGCATTAGTCTCCCCTGAAATATGCTTGGCCACGAGGGAAAGGAGGTTATTCTCTGCCCACATCCCCAGGACATTAGCCTCTAGCATGAGATCCCGTGATCTGGTGCCCCCTTGTCTGTTGACGTGGGCCTTGGCTGTGATGTTGTCTGTGAGGACCAGCATGTGCTGACCCTCGATATATGGGTGAAATTCCAGTAGAGCCAATCTAATGGCTCTGAGCTCTAGCCAGTTAATGCTCTTGCTTGCCTCATCCTGCGTCCACTGACGCGGGCATATGTGCATCCATATGTGCCCCCCCCAGCCGTATAGATTGGCATCAGTGGTGATGGTGATTTGGTCCCTGACCCTGAAGTGACATCCTTTATCTATGGCAGGGGTGTGCCACCAATTAAGAGACTGTTGGATCTCCCTAGTGAGATGTACCTGTCTCAATGATGCGCTGACCCTTTTCCTCTGGAAAGGCAGCAAGAACCATTGGAGGTCCTTCGTGTGGAGCCTGGCCCAGGGTACTATGGAAATGGTCGAGATTATCTTCCCGAGAAGTTTAGATAAGGTCGCCAACGAAACTTCCTGACTGCGGACCACCTCCGCTACCAGTTGTCTAAGGCTGGTAGTCCACCCCTCAGACAGGAAAACCTGCCCAGCCCTGGAATCTATCCAAGCCCCAAGATGGAGAATCCTAGTGGTAGGTGTGAAATGGCTTTTAGCCTTGTTAATGGAAAACCCGCAACACCTGTGTCGTGACATGGGCCCGCAACACCTGTGTTGTGACATGAAGGTCTGCTCTGGCCCTGTCTGGAGAAGTGGACTATACCAATATGTCATCAAGGTATAGTTGAACTCTGATAGGCATTGTATATAAGTGAGTTGCCAAGGCGGCCAAAACCTTAGTAAAGACACAGGGAGCAGAAGAAAGGTCAAATGCCAAAGCCGTGTATTGGTAATGATAAGAACCATAACAAAAACGTAAAAACTGGTGATGCTCCTGCAGGATGTGTATGTTTAAGTATGCCTCCGTGAGGTCATTAGAAGGTAATCATCCTCCCTCACACCCTCCAAGATGGTCTGCAAGAAGTGCAACTTAAAACGTTTATATGCAATAAACCTACTCAACTGCTTCAAGGATGGCCCTTCACCCTCCAGAGGCCTTGGGAATGACAAATAACAAGGAATAAAACCCCTGGTGGACCTGGTCGGCGGGTACCCTCTGGATAATAACTGTCTTTGGGGGTTAGAAGAAATAGGGCACTGGAGGAAGGACTTGGGACGATGGGAAACAAACTCCAGGGTCAGACCGAACCTGACCATGCTGTAACTCAGGCATCACAGGTTATGGCCTCCCACTGGTTGGTGAAGTGCTGTAGCTGCCCCACAATGGGAGCCCGATCCTGTGACTGGTTAGGATTTGTGGTAGTATCAGTTACCGCCTCCACGAAAGGGACGTTTGGACTGTCCCCCCATTGCTGCCAATACTGCTATTGTCTAGGGTGCTGGGAGAAGCCGCCCTGCTGGTGGAACCCTGACAGGGAATAATCATTATTCCTAAAGGACTCCTCCTGTCTAAAGGGTTGTCTTTTGGTATATGGGGTAGCTCGGGCTAACCGTTTCTTAGCAATAGCAATAGCAGTTAGACTTATATACCGCTTCATAGGGCTTTTAGCCCTCTCTAAGCGGTTCACAGAGTCAGCATATTGCCCCCAGAGTCTGGGTCCTCATTTCACCCACCTCGGAAGGCTGGAAGGCTGAG